CACTCTCAGGGGGTACCCTCAGGGACTCAGACCCTGCTACACTTTGCCTGGCCTTCTAGGCCTTTCTTTGAAATCTTGGTGGAAACCACTATGAACCCCTAACTCCAGCATCCTACATCCCACAGAACATGGTTAATGCCAAGGTCTGCCAGCATCTGGAGCAGTAGCCCAGGCTCCAGGGAACTTGGCTACAGCAGCCTCTGAGTCTGGGTGACTGAGCATGTTGAGAAAACTTCCTAAGCCCCCTTGTGCCAAAAGGTGCCCCACTGGTCTCTCCTCAAGAGTTTTCACTTTTACTCTCTTAAGATTGAGTTGGGTATGGTCTTGCCAGCTCTTGAGATGCCCTGAAGCCATCTTTCTTATTGTCTCTGGGCAAAGTCTTTAGCATTTCTTTCATGGTGGTAATGTCTTCAACAACTGCAACTTCCTTAGCCCTAGCTTTACCTGGGACTTTCAAGTCTACTTTGTCCAAATCTTTCTGTTCTGCTTTCTGCTTCTGACTATCACAATAAATTTGACTAAAAGCTGCCAGCAATATCCATGCCACCTCCTGAATGCTGCCTAGACATTTTTTTTCCACCAGAATAAGAAGTCCATCACTATTAAAATCAGCTTCACAGAAATTATCAGGAAATGAGCAAAATGCAGTCAACTTCTTAGCCAGAACATGACATGAATGGCTTCTACTACTCCAGATTTCAATAGAGCCCTCCTTCTCTGAACCGTGTTCAGCCCTGTCTTTACTGTTCACAATCCTATTGGCATTCTGGTTTTCTGAGAGCCCACCAGAATCAGCCATTAAGCTCTGCTTATAATCAGTCTAAAGCCTTTCCAGCTTGCACTGCTAAGCATATCAAAATTCTTCTCACCAATTCCAAAGTGCTCCAAAAGCTTCTGAACCACATGGTCAGATTAGTCACAGCAATGACCCCACTTTTCAGTACCAATTTCTGTTTCAGTGCAGATATACCAATCCATGGACAGCAGGTTTTATTCTTCTGGTCTCAAGGTGAGGCCAAGAGTGAAAGGGGAAAGCAGTTCATATTGCGATCAGAAAGCAGAGAGAGGCTCCACTTTACAGAGACAAATATATACCCCAAAGCCATGCCCAAATGCCCACCTCCTCCAGTCACACCCTAACACTTGAGTTACCACACAGTTAATCCCTCTCAGGGGATTAATTCACTAATTAAGACTCTCACAACCTAATCATTTCTCCTCTGACCCTTCTTGCCTTGTCTCATATGTGAGCTTTTGGGGGACACCTCACACCCAAACCATAACAGTAGTGGATCAATGAAACTGAAAATTTTGTCCACACACAAAAAAAGGTATATGGATATTTATAGCAGTTTTATTCACAATTTCCAAAAGTTGTAAGCAGCTATGTTCTCCTCAGATGGTGAATGGATAAATTCACTGTGGTACATGCAGATAATGGAAGTGTTGAGCACTAAAAGAAATGAATTATTGAGCCATAAAAATATTAAAGAAGCTTAAATTCATATCACCAAGGAAAAGAAGTTAAGGCAAAAACCTCTATACTGTATGGTTATAGCTATGGTCATACATCTATTAACAACAGACATACAACCTGAGCAAAATATCATTAGACAGTTTTGTCATTGTGGGAGAAGCATACAGTATAATTAGATAAACAAAGATGGCTACGATGTCTCTGGGCCATATAATTTTATTGGAGCACCATGGTATATGCAGCCTATTTTTGACCAAATGTCATTTCATGCCATACTTGTGACTACACATGACATTCTGGAAAATAAAATGAGAACTGTGGAGACAGTAAAAAGATCAGTAGTTGCCAGAGGTCAAGGGGTAGGGAGGAATGAATGCAGGACACACATGATATTTTTAGCAATAAAGCTATAGTGGTGGATATACATCGGTATACATTTGTTCAGACTCATGAAATGTCCAACATCAAGTGTAAAGCCCATAATGCAAGCTGTATACTCTGGTGAAAATGTTGTTATCAATGTTCCTGCATCAGCTATAGCAAATCTATAAGTCTGGCAGGCTATATTCATAATTAGGGAGGAGATTTATGTGAGGGCCAGAACTATATGGGAAATCTACATTGTACCCTGAAACTAACCTAAAACTGCTACAAAAATGCATAGTCTATTAAAAATAAATAATAGGCATATTTACATGTCATTTTGTAGAGATGGATATGGGTCAAAGTAAGAACAACCACTGTAAAGTTCCTCTTATATTTTTTCATTTTAAAATGCAAGTAACTAATTATTTTAGGAACTTCACAGTGAAGAGGTATCTATCAAGTTACTTGCACAACTAACCCACAGGTGCTTGAGCTAAACCTTTCTTTTTGCTGTCTAACCTTCATTGTTTTTATTAATATTTATATTTACATTATTGTGATATTTCTTATTACATTGTCCTAGCATAATCTGAATTGTACTTTTGAAGGAAATGACAGCAGGACATGAAACCCAGGTAAACACTGTAATATCTTGGCTGTCCTTTATTCCTTTCAAAGACATAATTAGACTTTGACTTGTCAAAACTAGTTAGCAAAAGGTTTTCTCCATGTAATCTCCCAAGATCAAATATGAACAAAGTCGGTGTGAGAAAGTACTCAGGCTGCATTCTATATAGGCCTAAAGATGGGGGAAAAAATTAATGTTTCTTTTACAAACTCTATCATCAGGATAAGCAAAAATAGAAGCAGAGGTTCTCTTCACCTTCCACTTGTCCTCTTTGTTTTACAAATATAATATAGATGTAGATGTCTTCCCTATGAGGAACAAACCATTTCATTAATCTAATTCACCTAGATAAGTGAAATCTACTGTTGTAAGCAGCAAATATGAAGTGAAAAATATATTTGATGAACATATTCCTGAAAAATATTATACCTTTTTCTGCCTTTGAAAATTGAGTATGAAATTAACAGAGGCCTCAAAGAAGTTTTTTGAAACAATACAATACAATTTTCTTGAAAATCCTTCTCTTTCTTTATTATGTAATTATCATAGAAAATGTGTCAAGGAATTGTTATGCCTGGGCCTGTCTTCTCAGCCCAATACCAGGGTCTGGATGAGTGCTCACAATGGTCAGATGGTCTCATTTTGCACAGTGAAGTTGGAGAGAGAGAGAGCCCTGGCATGAGCAGAGGAGACACATGAGATTGTACATTAACTAAGAAGAAAACAGAAAACCACCACATTCTATGTGCAAATCTTGCAGAACAGGAGCAGAAGTAGGAGATTTCAGATTCAGAAGCTAAGAGAGGGATCTAGACCAATGACCATAAGCTTTTTCTTACACTTAATTGACAAAGGAGCTGAACTCCTTTCTGTGAAAATGTTTCTATTCTATCCAAACCAATGATCCTATCAAAAAATATAAAAAATAAGAAAGAAAAAAATGGATCTCATTGAAGAAAGCAGAATAACCCAAACTAATGCCAAATACTGCTGTGCTGAGAAGACTGGGAGAAGCTAACAGGACACTTCTAAAGCCTACCTTTAAGTGTCAGTGGCAATGAAATGTCAACATGTCAGTATTGATTATATGGTCCATTCAAAACTACAAGGAAAAAGATATAATGACTATGAAATCCCTTTATTTTTTCCTTTCTTTTTTGGGCCTAAGAGATATCCTAGTATTGTTGCTTATTAACTTATGATGGGGCACAAACCTGAATAGGCAGGTTTCATGTCAACGGGAACTGAATTTAGCTGAATTCATGCCACTTCCTTCATTCAGGTATATTTGAATGCCTGTCTGAATCACAAGCTAAAACATCCTGCCTTCTCATACTTTGAATAGTGGGTCTCTCTAGAAAACCAGTACTATTCATAGATAAAAAGTGAGTGAATTTTACTATTCAAAAAATGTAGCAAGATATTTGAATAACTAGTATCAAAAATGTTTCAGGAGCTTATTATCAGCTTGAGGACATCTCTGACTTTTTATTTATACATTCTGTTTTTAGGAAGAAATCCTGTTTCCAGGTTCTTGATGGCCTTATAAATCTTGAATTTATTTGTGCCAATAGACTTGTTCTTTTTAGTTTATCTTATTCGTCTTGAGCATTTCGTGTTAACTGACAAGGATTAGTTATTACCCAAGCCTACCTTCATATGGAAATGACATTTTGTTAAGGATCAATTTAGGCAGTTTGATCATTCTGGAATGATGCTTATAAATCCAAACAAAAGCTTTCCATCTATACACACAGAAACTTTACAAATACTGCATGTTCTCATCCATTGTAGAAGCTAAAGAGATCTATCTCATGGAAGACAGTGGAATGGTGGGAATTTGATACTGGGAAGTGGAGGGGGTAGGGGAAATGGAAAGAAGTTAGGTAAATAGGTTCAAAACACAGTTAGGAGGAACTAGTTTTCATGTGCTATAGCACAGTAAGGTAACTATACTCTATAATTTATCATATATTTTAAAGTAACTAAAAGAGTCATATGTTTTCCAATACATAGACATGATAATTATTTGAGAAGATACACATGCTAATTACATCAATTTTATCATTACATTTTGTGTACATGTATTGGATTATGTTGAACCCAATTAATATGTACAAATATTACATGTCAATTAAATAATAATAATGGTAAAGAACTAAGATCTCTTATGTGTTATATGTTGGGGCAGGTCAATAGAAAATAATTAGCTATTAGCAAAAATAGTTATAAACCTATCACATGTTTTCATCATCCATTTAAATGAAAATAAAGCAGTAATCTTGCTGCCATCACCCATGGAAATATATTACATTTTAAAATATTAAAGAACTGACTTCTTAGAGCAATCTTGTGAGACAATATTCACTGAAAATTTTAATGAGAGTTGAAACTGAAATCCATAAAATCTTTTAGAAGTTTCAGGCTACCTATCCAGGTAAGTGATTGCTACAGAGATTGTTCATTCCCTACTCTATTTCTTCAGCTTCAGCCTTGCCAAATTTGAAATGATGCAGAGCTCTTCAAAAATCAGTAGTGATTCACCATTTATTAGGAAATTTGTTATTTGTCATGAGAGTAAACACAATTTTCAGTGATGACAGACCTCTGATATGGCATGTCCTTGTCCTCTTCCTCTTCCCAGTGAAGCTCTACATGTTGCTCACTGTTCACATCCTACAAGCAAGCCTAATAGTTATAATTCTCCTCATTCATAATCCCCTGAGCACTTATTAATACTATATGAGCGTCATGATCTCACAATTTTAGATTTTGGAATAACATTCTACAAACCTTTGATTTCTTTCCCAACCAAAATTAGAAATTCCTTCAAATATGAATCAAAATCTTCATGTTTTATATTGTAGGGGTTGACATTTCTCAGTGAGAAAAGGGGAGAAATATGGCAAGCTCTTTATTTAGATCAAGCAAGCCCTAAATAAAAGGGTAACTAACAGCCTGCCTTAGGTGAACTGTCCTGGACAGGTTACTGATTTCACATTAATGGAATATCTGAACTGCTTGAACGAGTTGATGTCTTGTCACTGAAAGAAAAAGATACAGTAAAAATTGCTGACCTAAAGCAAGAGCTAAGTCTATGGTTAGAGTTAAGTCTCTGAGGTCAATTACAATTGCAAAGCCAATCAGTGTTAAGGCATTGACACATTTCTAATAAAATTCTGTTAACTGTTTTGTTTTCATTTATGGTGGGTAATAAATTTAAAAAATAGTCTAGTAACAATAGAATATATTGCATGGCATATGTTATGGGATAATATATTATTAATAGCAGAATAAAATATGGCATCTAGAAACTGTCAATGGTCAGATGGTTAAAATCTGTCTCCCTGGATTAGGGATTTTATTACATAGAGGTTGAATATTGTTGGAAGGTAAAGTAAGAAGAAAACTGAAAAGCAAATGAGTTGAACAAAAATACTCAAGGACAAATTGGAACATTCCCAACTCATAACAGCCATCACTGTCACAATTCCACATATACCAGTACTTCAAATTTAATTCTAGTGATAATCCCCTTTTCAGATACTTTCTCTTATTCCACTTTTCCTTAGTTTTTATATAGAGATGTAAACTTTAAAAAGTAATAGCCTCATTTACTTATCCACAGCAAAGGAAGATTTAAATTGAGAATTTTAAGACAAGCAATAGTAAGAGAATTATTTCAATCATGCTGCCTTCAAAACAAATACAAAGCACTACACAATAAACTGTCTTTATATCATACTTATGCAACAAGAAAAAAAAATTGCCATAACATGACTACCACTTAAAGGCTATATCCTTTGCTCAAATGAAAGAAAGTGAAATAATTTGGAGGTTGAGAGAACAAGAGATAATTTGACAATAAAATTTAGATTTGAGTTTGTTCTGAAAATGTCCTTATCACACTTGAGAGTAATCCTCTCCACCCACTTGAAGTAAAAGCTTCCTTGCACACAAAGGAGAGAAAGGGATTTTAAATAAGAGGATTTTCAGACTCTGTGCTATACTACATCTCATTCTTAGGACTAAGCAACTACATACATCGGCACTAGAGATGTGGTTAGTTCAACCCAAGTACATAAAAAGGGAGTAATCAAAACAACTTAAACAGAATTCTTAAATAGAAACACCAATTTGTAAAGCTAGTTTATGTTTTTTATAAACATACAAAAAAAATGAGTAAATGGCACTTACCTTGCTGCTTCAAAAGCACATTTACAAAATTGAAAGAAAACATTCACTAGAGTCACCTGAATCTGAACTTCTTTAAGTCAGTGGCTTTTTTACTTTATAAAACCTTATTTTTGACCAACTTTATCTTCTCCAATTTATATATTTTAAGTCATGAAGCATTGAACTCACCTTTGCATAATTAATGGGAGTAAAGGAAGTTCCGGCGTTCAGAGTTTCAGACACAACAATCACATGAGTTGTACAAAATACCAATGAAGCAATAATCACCAAGAATCTTCTATGTTCAAACAACTGTTTCAGCTGCTGGGATGATGTTGGTTTGAATTAGTTTTATTTCTATGATTAAAAAATTATGTGCATCACTACATGTGATTAAAGCCTAATAAATAAAAGCTATAAAAAAAACCATCCACCAATGTAGAAGACAAGAAAGAAGAAGTCAGTTAAGACCCAAATTTCAAATGAAATTGAGTCTATTTTCTAGGTGTTAGTCCAGCTTTCTTTTGCTGTTATATAAATTTCAAGTGTGAACAATTTCATGGATACAACCCAACACTTAATAGTATTAGGAATGGCCAATTTATCATCAAAAAAACACAGGAGACACAGGGCATCACTCATTGAAACCTCCCTAGCACAATTTCTTCCACTAGATCTTATTATTTATTAATCTCGTACCTCAATGTTTGAAAGCTTTGCTGAGAAGAATATAACATGATAAATCATAGTAGACAAATCTCAGAAAGACAGCATAATAAAATACCTACATATACTCAAATTTATCATAGACTTCTACTTCAGCAACGGGACAGTACAAAGTAACTCATTTGCCCTCTTTCTACAGGAACAATAAGGTTCAACTGCCATTTTTATCCCTATAATTATAATAAAATCTTTCTCTTTGGGGCATTCTGTATACTAATTTCCTCAAGTGTCTAAAAACCACCACAGCTATATTTCCTCTTATTTAGTGCTCAAGAAGAAACAATTTTATCTGCCTGTGTCTGTTTCCACATTCTCCTGTGTGTTTAATCTTTGCTAGCTACAAATTTCACAAGCAAGCATTTTGATTGGGAGCATCTCTTATGTAATGCCTTTTTTTTTCTAATTTCTCTTTTAAGCATTTTATATTTTTGAATATTTGTTAAGTAGCTGAAATTTGACTAGCTTTAAGTTATAGATAGAAATAGTCATTGGAAAAAAATTGAAGGTAGGATTCATTAGCTCCTTTTAACTAGAGTGGAAAAAACTCTGGTCACAACTTAAGTGATTTTGCCTTAGACCATGCAGAGAGTAAGCAAAAGACACAAAGGAATGATCCAGATATTTCTGACACAGTATCCTTCACTTTCTCATCTATTTCAAAAACAAACAAACAGCAACAACAACAAGAAACTTATGAGCAGTAGAGTAGCAAGGAAGGAGGTGTGGAGGGAAAGGATAAATACTGGAGATGAAGAATGAGCCAATACTGCAAATGCATTTATGATTGCATCAAAAGGAACTCCACTGTACATATAACTGTAATGCAGTAATAAAAAATTTTATATTTTTTTAAAAATAAAAAGAAAGAAAAATTTAGGAGATGTTTGCTCAAAGAGACCAAGGGACATGGAACCACAATCTTATGAAGTATTCTATCAGTAGAACTTAGTATTCTGGAAAGGACCATAAGGACCAGAGACACTTCCACTGCTTTTATGAGGGGGGAAGGGGACTAAGGATTGAATTCAGGGGCACTCAACCACTGAGCCACATCCCCAGCCCTATTTTGTATTTTCTTTAGTGACAGAGTCTCACTGAGTTGCTTAGTGCCTCACTATTGCTGAGGCTGGCTTTGAACTCTTGATCCTCCTGCCTCAGCCTCCCAAGCTACTGGGATTACAGGCATGTGCCACTGTGCCCAGCAGACACTACTTCTTATTTGACCACTGCATTCCAAGAAATAATCTTTTGTTTCAGAGAAAAAGAAGAATTAGAAATCACAATAAATGAGAAAAACTGTGCTTTTGTTAGCTGTACGAGGTAGTGAATGCAATAAATGCACACTGTTGTAAATAATGTTGTTGGAAATGGGCCTATCTTTTTACAGACATTCAATAACTATATTTTGAATTAAATCAACTCAAATATAATTAAATATGTCTATTAATTTTCTATAACAAAAAATTTTTAAAACCTATTAAATATTTCATTCCTATGAAAACATGAGGACATCCCCATAGATCCTTACATATGCTGGTAGAATAGTCAATTGAAAAATCATCACTTAATTTGCTTGTTGAACATATAATAAAGTTTACTTTCAATGCATAAAGGGCCAGCCTACCTAGGCATGTTGAAATAAGACAGTAAGCCCTGATATGGTGGTACACACCTATAATCCCAGCGACTCAGGAGACTGAGATGGGAGGATCAAAAGGTCGAACCCAGCCTCAGCAACTTATTGAGGTAGTGAGACCCTAAGCAACTGAGTGATACCCTGTCTCAATATAAAAAATAAATAAAAAGGGCTGGAGATGCAACTCAGTGATTAAGCACCCAGGTTTCAATCCCTAGAACCAAAATAAATAAATAAACAAACAAACAAACAAAAAACAAATAAATAATATGTAACAAGGAAAGTCAGAGGCCTAAATCTTCTCTCTAAATAAAACATGCAATTCTTCCCATGACTGAATTTTATTCCACAGGTCTAATATGCAAATATTGCTATTAACGAGAATATCATCACATAAATTATCATTTATGTGCCCAAGGCTGCTATCAAACAGGTTTAGTAGGCCTCAGAAGAATGAAATTGTCCTGGGAGCTAAAGAATTGACAATGTGAGTCTTAGCTATGCTACTTACATTCTGAGTGAACCTGACTAATATTATTTCGGATTATCATTATTCTATAAATTACTTTCCATTGAATAAGATTTTCTTGAGACTCTGGTGAAATTTGGTAGAATTGATGATGATGAGGCTTGATTATGATTAAGAAGCCTTCTTTGAATTTAAACTGAATTGCAATATATTATGGTTCAGATATTCACCAACTTTCAGGACAGTGGTATTACATTGTCATGGAGATGTTGAGCTTTATCCCAATATTCACCGCATTGTGATGACATAGATGAGTTCTTAAAATAATATATATTTAGATTACATGCTCATGGTTTGATTGCATGAAATGAGTCAGAAGTATATACATGTTTAGAAGATGTATGTCCAATTAAATCAGAATAACAAAGATTGTTTCTTTACATACTGAGTACCTGTTTACGTGATGTCCTCTAGTGCAGTCTACAATTTAGAAAGAGAATTCTTAATTCCTGTACTTTTTTTTTCACTTTGAAGAGGTTATATATTCCTTTGTAAAGGGTCACATTTAGATGAGAATTTTTGTTTCTTCTTTAACTACATGGGGTGATTCCTGAGAGAACACATCACTTGTAAGTAGAAGCTTTCCCAGTAATTGCACATGCTTTGAGCCACCAATGTGGATTGTATAGCAAAATCTACAGACAATAGATCCATTCCACAGGGTTTTCATGTTTTTATACCAGTGTCTTATCTGCCATTCCTTTTGATAACTGTATTCTTATCCTTTACTGTGCTCTCTGATTGATGTAACACTTCTCAGAAAGTAAGAAGGTGAAGTTGGGCAGGAGCTTTAAAAGACTTTTCAGCTTTTAAAGGAAAAATATGTAAGAAAAAAAATCTTTCTAAATACTAACAATGTATTTTTTCTATTTATGAGCATAAATTCCCTGGTCTATTCCTAAAGACTGCGTGGTTCAATATGTAACCATGTGTTCTATAATTTTTAAATGACAGTTCTGTTTTAGAATGAATGTCAGTCTATCTCTGCTCCAAAAGGATTACAGAAACTTAAAATGGTGGTAATGGTGATTTGGTATAATTGTGATTTGATTAAGTTGAGACTGAAGCAAGTACTCACCCCATTGCTTCTATCCAAGTCTTCTCCCTCCTTCCCACATGGGCAGCTGACATTAAATGACAGACCCTGGAAGCAAAATGAACTTCTCAGGAGCTTTGCATTATACTTCATGTTATCACTAAACAATAGCAGATCTGTGGCAATATTATTTTATATAATCAGCAATTCTAGGTGGTTTTCTAGGTAAGTGTCACATATTGAATAAGATAATAATGAGTTGGAAATCAAAATTTCATGCATATCCTTATGCATATAATAACACAGATCTTAGATTTCAAATAACTAATGCCATAGCTAACTATTACATGAACTAATAGCATGAATGATTAATAAATGTTAGTTTTAAAACTTGAACCCATCAGAAACAAACATTATCCATCTTTCTTAATCACCTCAACACCTCCCGTATTTTCTGTTTAAATTTGAAGAGAAAACTTTTAAAAAGGAAAATTCTTAAATGAATTTTCTCATCACCTTCGCTAACAGTAGTTTAATAATGACAGTATAATACGAACTTAAATATCAGGCTCTATTCTCCCATCAGTGTGAGCTTCTCTTCAAGGCATCCTCTCAAGCTTAAATGACTTTTGAGGCAATGGGCTGATTTAAATTAAAAGTGAAGCAAGGGGTATAGTCATTATTTTCTATAAGTGAACCATACAATGTCCAATCTTAGTTTTATATAAAAGGAGGTCCACTGTTGATTTGGGGCTTTATGACACTGAGAGAGGTGGGAAAATTTAATTTTCTTTAGAAACATGCCTATCAGCTTATGGCACATGCTCCCATTTAATGCAGATGCATTAATCCTGAGAGACTAGAGTTACTTTGTGTGCATCATTAGGATCTTAAAGGCCTAAGGGTCTTTATTTTAGGAACATGGAGACTGGAATTATTACATGGAATTTCATATTGTCCAGAATGCCATGACACATACCATTTAATTAACTGTACAAGAGAACTCATGGTGTACTTTAAAGTGGATATGAGCCAAGGTCAAGTGGAATAAATATGTTATTTCAGAAGACAATCAACAGAAAAGAATTCATCATTTAAAACCAAGGTTCACTGTTTGGTTCAGAAACCAATCTGTTTCTAGTGATTGACACAGAACTTCACCTTTCCAATTTCTAATTTAACAATTAGCAGAAGAGTAGTCATAAACCAAAATAATATATAGATTTTGTTTATATTTAAAAAAATGAAAGCCAGAAGGTAAAGTTTTATCTATTAACAGGAATTGGGAAGACATCCACCTTAGAGGAGAGTATTTGTCAGTATTTTAAAAGAACAAAACTAGTTGATTTTTCATTTTTCATAATTTAGAGTAGTTGTATTCATAATGAACAAAAGTTAGATATTACAAGACTATAATTATGCCACAGTATAAATTGAAAAATAAATTGCACTGAAAACTAACTTTAAATATTTTGTTAATTATTATGTTTCAAGTTCAAAACTGGAAATATGGTTAATTGTTGCCTAAATAATAGTTACCTTCAGCATATTTTTGAAATATTTATTATACATACCATTCTATCCTAGTATATAATATTTTTATTGATTTTTAAAAAAACAAATGACAGCAGAATGCATTACAATTGTTATTATACATATACAGCACAAGGAATGAAAATTTCAGGCCAACATTGGATGCAATTTTCCAGAATTTTATTAAGAATTTTTGCATCGGGCTGGGGATGTGGCTCAAG